ATTCTGCACTACCAGCATTCTCTTGCACACATGTATGCATGTAAATTTGAAAAGGAAAGAGCAATCACCTTCAAAATAAAAGCAACAAAGCGATTTGTCCGATTCCCTTCATCATCGCATAAAACAGTAAGTGGTCTTAAGGTTATGATTAGCAGCTGAAATGGGACATACATGGTGTATACTTATTTACATCTAAAACCTAATTTTCCGATTTTCTAATTGGCCAGATGTGGCCTACAGGCCATGCAATGCCCGAGTTGCCCCAGCAGATGCACAGGGGACAACTTCAGGTTTTAAGATCTTGCCCAAGGATACTTCAATATGTACAGTAGTGGAATCATTGATTGAACAACTTACCTTATGACTTGTGGATGGCTCTCTTTACCTCACGAAGCACAGCTGTGATAATCAACAGCTACAGTTGCTGGGCCAATAAATGTAAAAAAAAGAACGAGAGAGTTTCCCTCCTGGAGAATTATGACCTGACTGATGTTCATTTTTTTCTATTAAGCGTGTTTCAAGTAGGTCCTTGTTGGGATGTCTGTGAGTGCAGATTGAAAGGTATAGCAATGTGCCCACATTGCTGTGTATACAGGGCAAGAGTCAGAAAACTAATGCTCCTGAAAGCAGACTGGATGAATTATGAAGACCAATCATTCCACTGGTTTAACTACATAAAAAGTGCAAGTGTTATAGTTTTTGACCAAAGACTCTTTGAATAAAACTACACTAAACAGCGAGAGAGTTTGTTTTTAGATAAGGGGGGAAATGCAAAACTATAAATAACAGTATACCCAAGAGTTTTTAAAAAAAAACAACAATAATTTTATCCCGTTTTGTTGTTTGTCGAAAGTGAAAATCGTAACTTACATTACAATTTTTACATATTAACTGGGCAGTCTTTCTTTTTTTTTTTAATTTAACCTCTATTTATACAGGTCTCTCTAGTAATTGAGGCCCAATGTCTCATTCACAAGATAGACCTGTTTCAGACAAACATATTAAAATTACAATAATAATAATTACAAAAATAATTTTAAAAAATACATAAAACAATAAAATAGCTAAATATGTCTAATGTACACAGTCATATTAAAAACAAGTTGCCAGAGATGACTTTGAAGTCTGCAAGTAACATCCTTCTGCAATGTAAAGATGTGTTGGCAGGGATCCAGTTGACAAGTACCTCTAGAAAGAAGCTTTTGTGTTTAAATTCAGTGTTAGCTTATACTTGTAAGTGTAAGCTAATAGTCAACAACAAGGAAATGAACTTCTGCAAACACTTGAGTAGCTGACAGCCCCCTGGAGACAGCAGAAAATTGCTAAGGGATAGTGAGTTGAGCTTCTAGTCTCAAAGTTTATTTACAACTCTAGTGGTGTTGAAACGTGTCAGGGGTCTTTGGGAGCCCTCTTGTACAAAGGGCCTTGAGCGGATATTTAATGGAGCTCTCAATGAAGAGAGGGAAAGAGAGAAAGACAGGATGACATTGTCTCCGTCTGAAGACTCACCTCTTTCTAATTGCCTCAAGTCGTATTGATTACCCAAGACCCCTCACACACCTCTTCTATGTGATCCCTTCACTCTGTGTAATCCCCACACAGAGCTTACAGACCAGGTTGTTTGCTGTTTTCTGATGTGATTAGCAGTATTGATCAAAGTGTGTGTGTGTGTGTGTTTTTATTTGTGTTTGGGGGCACCTTGCGTGTTTGATCACTCAGTAATTGGATGCTAAAAAGATGGAAGGAAAGAAATCTGCTTAATAATATTCATCTGATGATCATGCATCAAACATCAAACTTTCTCTTGCAACAACACCACATATATACCCACACACAACGTTTCCAGAAACCAGCACTTAAGCTGGGCTTCTATCACCCCCTCGTCAGGCCTGGAGGTGCGTTTAAGCGGCAGTTTGAGCCCCTGCACATTACCAGACATCTTACTGTGACACCACACACTCTTACTGCCAGTCATTCTTATTCCCTCGTCTGTCTTTCTGTCCCTAAGGGAAATGAAGATGACTTCATCCCTGTGCAATTAAATGCTCTCATTCTGTCTGGCCCTCTTCTATTTTGTGTATGTGTGTATGTCTGTGTGTGTGTGTTAGTGAAATGGATGAGATGTCAGATCCTGTGCAGACAGTTGGAGTAAGGACTAGACCAGAAAGTGAGCTAATCTCCTTCCATCCCTTCACTGATTGGAAGAACCCTGGACCCCAGCAATAACGCCCACCAATTAGACAGGCCTCCACAGTTGGCAGTTGTATCTGAGTGTAAGTCACCTACTGGACCTTTTGGCTCTCACTTGAGCTTATTGGAGGTTTGGAAATTCACTTTCTAAGTTCTAAGCTGCCCGTGGACTGAAAAACTGTGTATAGAATACCAAAACAAGATTGGTCTCCATGCAATTTAAACTCAAGTACTACATACATAACAGTATGTAGTAAATAAAGTTAGTCATGATTATAATGTGTGTATCATTATATCTCTCAAGTTTTTTGTCTGCTGGGTTTTATTTTATCTATTGAACACAATAATTCTCAGCATCCTAGGTGGATTTCTTCTGTATTTTGAATCATTTTTAAATTTTCTTAATGTATCTGCAATGTACAATGTATCCCAAAGTCTGATGCTAAACAGTGCACCACATATTGTATAACCAATTCTAAAAATAGACCACCTCGGTCTGTATGGTATATTGGTGTGAAGCATGTACAGCTTCCATGCAATAAAATGAAATCATAATGACAATCCCTAAAGAATCGCACCACTTTCAGACACAAGGTTCAGTTTACTTCACATGAGAATCACTATGTAGTCTTCTGACGGTCTGAAGGAACAATAAAAATAACTCTAATGATGTCATCAGGGATTCAGCTTGAAAGTACAAACTTACGATTGGAAAGCTTCTGTTTTTGAACTGGGAATATGGAGCTTTATAACGTATGAGCCTTTATGAGAAAAGACCAAATAATAAACAAGGGTTCAACATGGGCTCAAAATGCCATCCATACCACAAGTTGAGTGCTTGGCTTCACATGGATACCTAGCTCCGGATAGTTTGAGAACATCAGGAAAATGTTTCCCAGTTTCAATGTGTATTTGTGACAATATGATGCGCATCCAATTTAACTAATTATGTAGCCTCCAGATGAAAACAATCAATCCAATGCACACGTATCAAACACACTGATTGAGAGTTATGCTGACAAAGGCAAAATCAATCAAAGTTTCCAGGCTAACCTCACTGATTCAAGGCACATAACTGGACACCACCATGTTTGCTATGCTTGTGCTGTTAGTGCTTCTTGGAGCATTATAACAGACTTATCTGACAAATATCAAAGCCCGCTGTATGGTATACACTGTACAAGAAGTTTGTGTTTAAGTCTTGGTGCGAAAAATCTAATTTTATGAGTCTGACACAGACCACTAATAAGCAGACATTTATGTTTTTGCTTTGTGTTGTAAGCTAATAATTTATCACCCCATCCTTTCATCCAAATATGATCCCCTCTGTAAAGTCTCTTTGCTTACATTCAGACAACTGAAGAATTGAGGTTCTAAGGGCATGACTCATACAATATAGGACAAATGTCATAGGCCAACTATGCATAACACCTACATGAGCTGCTCAGCCACAGAAACCCGAGCCATGAAGCTCCCAGTGCACAATTTGTGTGCTGATTATAATACAAGAGGAGGTTTGAAAGTATTGTTATGGAGGCATTGTTATTGAGGGCGTTGACTACTTTCAGGTGATTATAAAATAAGAGGAAAGAAATTTTACAAAGTGATTGTTGCATCAAATTAGATCCACAGTAGAAAATAGTGAGCTCTTTAAAATGATCCACTGGTTTCCTAGTTATGTGTCTTCATGCTGATGTGCCGAATCTCATTCCAAACATTAGATCACTAGTCAAACTCTGCACAGTGACCTACACCGTGTGTACACACCAAACTAAACCGAAATGAGCACTTCAACTCTACCTGCAAGCTCACAAGCTAGCTAACACAGAATGGCACAAAACAGGTAATTTTATGGTGAAAGTAGACAACTTCAAGAATGCTTTTACAGTCAGTGCTTCTTAACTTAGTGCAAAGACAGGCTGGGAATTCATCCACCACTTATATACCTTGCATTTTGAAACCACACAACATAAGAAATATGGAGCCATAAACTGGGAATTTAGTCTTTCAACAAGGTGTAAGCTGATAAGAGGCATGCAGCTTCAACAGGAACAGCAAAAAGTTGTTTCTGTGAGCCAACTCTCAAAGTGATGGAAATGTAAAAAGTTTCATTATAGACCAATTTGTGTGATTTTGTGTCCAGCACATTTAATATCTTTGGGATTAAAATAAACCCATGTCAACAAATTACACTATACTGCTAAAAATATTTGCTTGTCTACCGTCACATGAAACAAGGTCTTCTGGGAAGGCTTTCCACAAGGTTTAGATGTGTGTTTATGGGAATTTTTGACCATTCTCCCAGAAGTCTATTGTGAGGTTGTGAGGTCAGACACTGATGTTGGAGAAGAAGACCTAGCTCGGAGTCTCTCGGAGTCTAATTCATCCCAAAGGTGTTCTGTTAGTCAGGACTGTGCGCAGGCCATTCAAGTTCTTGACTCCAAATTCAGTCATACACGTCCTTATGGGCCTTGCTAGACCTAGCAGTCTGCAAGCCTAGGTGCTTGATTTTATACACCTGTGACATGTATTCAATAATTTGGATGGCTGAGTGATTGCTGAGTGACTGCACAAACATACATATACTATATTTATATATATACACGTTATCGTGATCCTAAGTGATTCTTAGTAAAACGTAATCTGACAGCTCTGGATCTTAAATGAATAATTGTTTCAAATGACACATTTTTCACTAGATTTCTCCAATTTCTTACAATCTGGCTGTGCAGGTGTTCATTTAGACCTCCAACTCGTACTATTAACAATGGACAACATAACCGGGGGAAAAAATGCATGCAACTACCGACCTTTTTCTTGTTGGTTGGGCAAATGTAGAAACTTGTCACCACAATGGTTGTTCCTGGCATCAGGTTGAGTTTGGTGTAGGTGGTGCCATAGTCAGAAGACCTAACAAAATTGCAGGCGAAAAACAAGAACAGGTACAAGTTAGTCTGGAAACATTTAAGAGCATTTTTTTCATAGTTTTCCTTTTGCAATAATCCCATGAGAGGTAGGCAAAGATGCCTGGGAAAGCAGCTGCTTATTCTCTCAAACTGTCCTAAAGGTATTGTATCAGTTCTGTTCACCATATCGCTACTTTGCAGTCTGTGGTCTGAGCCAAGTGACAAATCAGAAACGGCTGGGAAACCTGTCATTGCCACAGTGGTGTAAAAACACCCTTGGGCTAGCGATGAAGTCCTGACCAATCCTTAAATCTGGCAGCTTTAGCAGGAGGTAGGGAGTGCTATGTGCGGTCAAGAGTGATAGTTACAGTAGCTGGATCATTTCTCCAGCCCTGCTCAGACATACCCACAAAGCACAGTGAAAGTGATTGTTTGTGACAGGTTTTGACAAATGATGCAGGTTTCAACTTGACAAAGCTTAAGGGGGCTTAACTCTTTTATGGATAATTAATGTCTTAAATTTCTGTCAGGAAGGAAAAGATAAACAAAACTAATACAGGAGATTTTCCCCTCTACTTTATTATGTAGACAAGGTAAATTAAGGTTTAAGACACTGGTTTGAGTAAACAGAACACAAAACAAGTGTACATCAGACAACTTTCTAGGCTTCAAAAACAATGCAAAGCATACAGGAAGAAAGATGCTACAGCATTTAGCTGGAGGTTGAAGGTTCAACAGGAGGGAGCCTTGAAGAAGAGGACTTGATGAAAGAGAATGATGAGCTAGCACGTCAGCCTGGTTAAGGATGAGAGGATTTACTCCTTTGCGCAGTGGGACATCAACCACTGACAGACACTCACACACACAGTAAGACACATACACCCGAAGCTCTGCCAAGCCATTCAGCAATCAGCTCTCCCAGAGTGCTCTGATACAGCTGGAGAAAATGGAGTGGCATAGCAGGGGTGAGCTATTTCTCTGTGGTGAGCTGGCAAGTGTTTTCATCTTCCTCGTTGGCCCGTGTGCCATATTTAACCCTGGATCACTTGGAGGACATGAACAGATCTCGTGCTGATGGCTGTGCTAGCAGCAGAGCTCTGTGCTTATCACAAAAACCCAGTTGTAGATGGAGTAAAGGCCTGCTAGGCCTGGTGAGCAGAGGTCCTCTCAGAGGGTGGATAATTTGGGTGTAAGTGCAAAAACCACATTAACTAGTCACATTAATTCCTAATTAGCAAGAAGGATGATGATCAGCACTTTATAAACAGTGCTCGGAGAATCTGTTTAAACCATTTGTTCACGCACATTCATTGCCCTCCTTTAAGGAAGACTCTAGCTTCCATTTGTGCCTGTCAACATATGAAAATCTACTTACAAAGAATCAAAAGATGCTGCAGATCCAACTGCTAGGAAGGCATTCAGTAACATTTCCAAGTGCTTTGTATGTGACAGGTAAGAGATATATTTTCACCCAGCTCTAAAGGCTGGGTAACAACCTATCTGGTCACTCTTGATATTGAAGCTGAAATGAATGCTAGTGCATAAGAATTGGAATGTTATTCTTGTATTTCTGCAGGAGTGAAAACTCGGTCCCACAAGATTTCCTATGCTCTGTTGATAAACACATTAGCAAAATGTGTTGTGTTGTGTCTTTCTATAAAGATACAACACATTTTGCAACTCATTTAGACTGATGCTTCTTCTGTAAGAGATCTGTAAGAGATCTGTACTTCTGTTAGAGATCTGCAGAAATCCCCTTAGCTGCTTAACATTTCATAAGGATAACTTTAAAAACCTAAAACTGTCTCCCTAAAATGACATTACAATGCATCTACACTTTTTGCCAAGAGCACTTTGATTCAGTTCAATTCAGGTATATTTATATAGCACCAATGAGAGAAGCTTATCTGTTTACATACCACAAATCATAGCAAAAAATAATGTAAATCATAAAAAAAAATCAGCTTCATTTGGATAATCACCTTCTCCACAATAAGAGGAGAATACATCAACTCTATTACTGTACTGGGTATTACTTCTCCAGTTAACACAGAGGCCTCCAAAACCTCCTTATTACACATTTATAGTGCTTCATTAGCCAGGGTGTAATGAAAGGCCAGAGCTGGGGTGGGCATTCTGCCCAGAAATACAACTCAACATATGGACCTTGACTGTCCCTTGTCCCCTAGCTTTTTTGTCCTCAATACCCTGTTTTGCCCAGCATCTGTTACAATGAACTTTTTCTTTCCATATATCTTCCATCTGATGTTAAAAATTAAAGGTATGGACTAATCTTTGTCAAATGCTCAAATTACATGTGTTTATTAATTTAACATAAACACACGTCAAATGATCCAAGGAGTACAGCTCTCTCTAGCTGGAGTGCACTGACAAATCCTCCAATCACAATGAAACATTAAGACATTCTTATGAATTATGAAGTATAAACAGGTATATTTCACCTAGGTTTACATTCACAGATACCCTGAGCCAGTTAGATTAGGGTACTGCATTTGAACTGGCTGCACCTCTAAGCAGTTATTTAACAAGTTATTGAAATTCTGAAAGTCTAACAACAGGCCATAGAAACTATACATATAGAATCATAAGTAAAATATCATAAAAGTGCTTCAAAGTTTGGCTATTTTTAGTGCCAAAACAAAAATGTAAGAAAAGGCAACTTAAAAACAAAAAAACTAATCGGAGGAGTCATGAGGCAAAGATATGTCACTTAGGCTACATTAGGATACATATATCTCATGCACATATCTTTCTTTCTACATAGCACTTTAATTCTTGCACATATCTTTCTTTCTACATAGCACTTTAATTCTTATTGTTTGCACTGAAGCACCGCAGCAATTTCCTAATGTTGTAAACCTCAACATCTGGCAATAAACCCCATTCTGATTCTGATTCTGATTCTGATTCTGATTCTGATTCACACTGCAGGCGAAAGCGCATCAAATCCGATTTTTTTGACCCTATGTGACCCATATCCGATCATGGTATGACAGTGTGAACGGCACAAATCCGATATTTTCAAATCCGATCTGGGTCACTTTCGTATTTGGTACTGAATCCGATACATATCCGATGTTTCAGAAAGCGACTGCTGTGTGAATGGTCATGTTGCATTAAATCCTTTTACGTCACTGACACAAGACAGATGCTAATTATCAGCGCCGGAGAAGCACCCGATAGGACATCGCGAACGCTTCCTGGCCATCCGGTGAAAGTGCTGGGAAGACAACGTTGGAGAAACATTAACATTTTATTTGTACTGTATAACCTGCAGATTCTGACAGAAATCTGCAGCTATCCTTTGAAGCACCGCTCCTCTCTAAAACAGCAATAAGGATCATTATTAGGTTATTTACATTATTATGTAATAACTTAAAGCAAAAATTGGGAAACGTGAAGTCCGAAGTCTTTATATTAAGGGCCATCAGTCAAACAATACTGTTTGCTCTGGGTCTAAACAGAGCGTGTTGTGTGTGACATCTTCTTTTGCGCATGCGGGCCGCTTTGAGCGTTCACACTGGAGCGCGTTTGCTGTCGCATTTTATTTGTAGTGTGAACGAGCAGACAAAAAGATCGGATTTGATCAAAATATCGGAATTGAGCATTAAGACCTGCAGTGTGAACGTAGCCTTATAAAGCTAATATAGAGGTTGGGTAGGGGTTAGAGTGTAAAGTCAGCTGTCTCAGCACCTTACATGCTGAGAATAATGATGTTGAGTTAATAGGAGAGCTCATTTTATACTGTCTACCACCAAGACCTCTGGATTAATAGACTAGTAGAGAGCTATTGTAGATTAATGAGGAATAATTACTTTTAAACAGAGTAGGAAGCTGATGAGAAGAGATATGGACGAGGACAGGGAGCAGGAGAGGGGAGAAGAGTTGAATGAGAAAATGAAAAAAGTTTAATCTGTGGTACTCAGTGTAGCCCTCAGTCCTGGCAATTTAATATTAACAGAAAAGTAGGATATCGAGGCACACGCTGACACAAAATAGTCATTAATATTACCCTTATGTTATTTCATGTCCAAGTCTTCATGTCAAACAGCATAACTGTGAGAAAACATTCATTTTTGATATGCAGTACAAAGGCTTAAACAAGTTGCCGCAGACACAAGACAATTGGTAGAAGGCAAATAGCTGAAATAATAACAGCAGAAAAACGGAAACTACTATAAAACAAGAGTGGAATATTAAAAAAACAAAAGGGTAGACATGGAAATGTCTGCGAGAATGAATGTGACAGTGACAGACACTACGGGTGAAATTGTATTTTCCTTGATCTGCTTGAGAAAACAGAGAAATGTGGAAGCACTTTAGGGTGGCGACAGGTGCTGATTCAGATTTAATGTCCTAATATGTCAAGGTTGCTCCCAGCGCTTGACATCTCAGGAAAGAAAAATTGAGTGTGTCAAGAAAATGTCTGATGCAATGGAATACCAAAATATAGAGAGCACAGGAGAATGGATATAAGGAAATGGATTCATGATCAATCCATCTAAAGATCTTCAAAGTGTTAGCTGGTGAGGCGTTATGCTGAATATGCGACAGAAGGAAATGCATCCTTCAAGGCTTTTCTCTTCTGAATTCACATGCATTTGGTGAAACATCTGCTGTCTAAGAAGAACTAAGCTAATAAATAGCTTCAAACAAAGCTAACGAAGAACAGAGCAGTGGGTTGGTGTATTAAAGGTTAGCTATAGACATATACAGTAGTTGGCTGAGTCTCATCATGCTGTTCAGTGTCTGATTTCTGCTAAGACAGACAGATACCGTCAGTCTGAATCAGGTCTGGAAAGCCTGATGGCCAGACTTTTAGGGCTGATGACACTCATCACTGATTGGCTGACATACAGATTTCCCAGAGAGGCTAACTGAGGGCAACGTCCTCTGACAAGAGGATAGGATTGAGCTGGATCTTAGTTTAGTATAGAATATGTCACAGTTTCAAGTCTTACACCACAGAAACACAAGAAAAAC